TGATATAACTTCGGCCTTGCCAAAAGCCATCCAAAAAATACACCTCCAAAACGCTCTCCCCAGTGGTCCTGCAGCCGAGCAAGAATCAACGCAGCAACCACCCCAAAACACACAAACTCCTCCAAAACGCTCTCCCCAGTGGCCCTGCAAGCGCGACGTAACGAAAGATAATCCAAACATGTACCTCCAAAACGCTCTCCCCTGTGGCCCTGCAGCTCAACCATAGCCACGCGCGCACGAAGAAATTGCGCCAGGTGGCTGTCGTTGGAGCCATCTTGGGGCCAACTTCGTCACCTTGGAGCCCATAATGGTAATACAATTTTGTCATTGCCAAAGCCATCCACTAGACGACAGGGTGGCCCGAAAGCAAGTAGGCGGAAGAGAACAAATAGAAGGGAAGAAAAGCGAAGTAACAGAAGATGAATGAGCACTAAAGAAATGAAGAGATGATATATGATGATTCAAAACATTAAGGATGATGATGATATATGATGATATATGAAGAGATGATATATATGTGGATGATAAGGATGATGATGATGATGCTGATGATGATGATGAAGGTGATGATGATGATGATGATAATGATGATGATGGTGCATGTCGCCAGGCACGGTTTACACCACACGTTGTTTACGCCAGACGAAGTAACCATGGAAAAGTTTACACCAGACAAAGCCGACAAAGGTTTACACCAGAGAAGAGTTTACACCAGACATCGATTACACCAGACACCGTCTATACACCAGACACGGTTTACACCAGACGTCGTTTACACCAGACAAGGCCAACAAAGGTTTACACCAGAAAGAGTTTACAGCAGAGACAGTTTACACCAGACAGCGTTTACACCGGACATCGTTTACACCAGACAAAAAGGTCTTACCGCAGACGAGGTTTACACCAGACAAAACCGACAAAGGTTTACACCAGAAAGAGTTTACAGCAGAGACAGTTTACACCAGACAGCGTTTACACCAGACACCGTATACACCAGACGTCGTTTACACCAGACAAAGCCAACAAAGGTTTACACCAGAAAAAGTTTACACCATAGACAGTTTACACCAGACAGCGTTTACACCAGACACCGTTTACACCAGACATGGTTTACACCAGACATGGTGGAAACCATTGCAGCAGCAATTATAAGGCGATTAGCAACAAAAGATTGCAAAACACCACGTAACTACGCACTGAACGATGACACAGGAACACCTTCGAGCCAGAACTATAAGGCGAATAGCAACCAAAGCGTGTAAAACACCATGTAACTACGCACCAAACGATGACACAGGAACACCTTCGAGCCAGAACTATAAGGCGATTAGCAACCAAAGCTTGCAAAACACAATGTAACTACGCTCCGAGCGATGACGCAGGAACACCTTCGAGCCAGAATTACAATGGGGGAACGCTCCGGGCACAGACTATGGAATCGCATTTCCCAATGAGTATGAAGTCCGCAGCGCACATTCGCGACATCCTTGCGACCAGAATTACAATGGGGGAACGATCCGGGCACAGACAAAATGTACGTTTCACCACACGTTCGCGCCATCGACACGCACGATCTCCGCAGAGGGTTGCTCACGGACAAACGCGATTCGCGTCTCACCAC